CGGAGAGGACATCGCAGAAGACGTGCCTATCGAGGAGGAAGGTGAAGAAGGACCATCATATGGCCTTCTGGATGGACCACAGCCTTTATCTTCAATCTTTGAGGAAGAGGAAGAAGGTGAAACTCCAGCAGCCAGAGGTAGGTCCAGGTCACCTCCGCCTGTAATCACTGCCCGCTCGCGCAGAGTTAGTGTTGCAGAGCCCGACTCTGAACGGGCGCCGAGCCGCCGTATCAGCAGAGCAGAGTTATTGGACGACCTGCCGGCGTCCATACGCTCACGCCTAGAGGAGAGACGAGTTGAATAGGAAGCCAATATGAGCATTCGAAAGAAACTCATGGGTGTCTGGTCAAACCGTCTTTCTACGAAAAAACAGGTTGAGCGCGAGCTTAAGGAACTCCCGGAGTCCTTGAAGTACTGGGAGTGCACCCTTTCCGTACGACAGCATATCGACGGATCAAGGGCGAAAGAATGGAAGAAGTATTAATTGATGTCATCGATAATACTAATAAGATAACCTATATTGACATCAAGTCAAATAGGAAGCACACAGATCAGGTTGATCGTGGTGAGGAGCGCCAGCTCCGATCCGTAGCTGGCAGCCTTTCGTGGATATCTAGGCAAGCCAGGCCAGATATTCTTTACCGCGTATCGAAGCTACAGAGCTCGATAAAAGGTGCAACCATAGACACAGTGCATGAGGCTAATAATGTTTTGGAATTAGCCCAGAAGGGACGTAATCTGAAGTTAAGGTACCGTAACGGACCTTTTGCAGGGGAAAGCAACAACAAGTCGCAGCAAGGCCGAATCCATTTCCTTGTCCCAGAACAGCAGCTACGCGATGCGAGCTATAGCAACTACGACATGATGGTAGTGTCATTTGCATCGACCACCTTTAAGCGTGTGTGCCGAGCTACGTTGCAAGCCGAAACGTATGCTCTCCAAAGTGCGCAGGAATCCGGTGATAGGATCCGCACTGCATTGGCCGAACTTTATGGTTTCGGTTCACCCGGACCCCATTGGGAGCAACTTGCGAGAACGAAAGTTCCGCACGTATGCCTAACGGACTGTCGCAGACTGGCAGACCATCTCAATGCGGAGGTCCATGCACGAGTGCAAGACAAGAGACTCCAAATAGAGCTCAATGCACTAAGGCAATCGATATTCACCGAAGACGGGAATAGAACCTTCGAGATCTACCTCACTGGAGGAGATCGAGTCGATTGGATCGATATATCCACACAGGCAGCAGATTGTTTCACAAGCCTCATTTCATGGTTAAGGTAATAAACGAAGGCGTGTACAGAGTAAGCCGTGCTAAACTGTAGACGTAGGTCGCAGACGCTACAACCGGACATACACCTGTATGTACCCTAGTCGCTGAGTCTGGGAAGCGGTAGACTGCAGACACCACATGCAATGAGGATGACAACTATGTCGTACCTCCAGTGGATAATTCATGAATTTGTACAGTGTATAGCCAGTTCACAACATGAGAACAGGTTGATTGTGAACTACAGTTCATGTATCCCTGTAATGACCATGATTGTGAACGTGATTGTTGTATATCTATCCGCGGCTGTAGGGCCCTTGAGCATATCCGAGAGCTTCGCAGTGCTGGTGAAAAGTCCGACCAGTTTCATACTCTGCCTTTGCCTCTCCTTTCACAGATGCGCAGCTGCAGGCGAAGACGTGGCGTGAGCTCGATGTGGGATCGACGAAGCCGCCAAAGAGAAGTCTGCACACAGCGGTCTACGATGCGCAGGGCAAGGCCATGGTGATCTTTGGGGGTCCGGCTCTCGGTGTGCCTCCGCGACCTCCTTCGCTCCTGGCCTTCCTTTCTCCTTCAGCTCGCAGCCCAGGTTACGACAATGGCGGCCCGGACCCCGGGCCTCGACTGCTGGAAGTCTGCCTTCTTTGCTGCCTTCTCGCCGGTTGCTGTTGGGCGTCCTGGTCTCCGGACCCGTGCACGGACCAAGACCGTTTCGATGACACGTGGGCCTTCGACCTGGCGGTCAGGGCCCAAGCCAGTCCTGCACAAACTCCCCACAAAAACCAGTAGTTGTTGATTTTTGCAGCGCGTTGCCGCGGATAGTCTGTTTGGTCTTTTCCGATGGCATGCATGTCGATGACTTGCGCATGCCGGCATGGCCGTTGCTAATACTGGGCAGGTGTTGCGGTTTAGTTTTTTGAAATTTCGGGATTCGCTGCTTTCAGTTGTGGTGATGGCTGTGCCTTTGCCTCTCCTTTCACAGATGCGCAGCTGCAGGCGAAGACGTGGCATGAGCTCGATGTGGGATCGACGAAGCCGGCAAAGAGAAGTAGACACACAGCGGTCTACGATGCGCAGCGCAAGGCCATGGTGATCTTTGGGGGTCCGGCTCTCGGCGTGCCTCCGCGACCGCCTTCGCTCCTGGCCTTCCTTTCTCCTTCAGCTCGCAGCCCAGGTTTCGACAATGGCGGCCCGGACCCCGGGCCTCGACTGCTGGAAGTCTGCCTTCTTTGCTGCCTTCTCGCCGGTTGCTGTTGGGCGTCCTGGTCTCCGGACCCGTGCACGGACCAAGACCGTTTCGATGACACGTGGGCTTTCGACCTGGCGGTCAGGGCCCAAGCCAGTCCTGCACAAACTCCCCACAAAAACCAGTAGTTGTTGATTTTTGCAGCGCGTTGCCGCGGATAGTCGGCTTGGGGTAACCGTCAGAAGGCATACATGTCCATGAATTAATTACACATGCCCGCATGGCCTTTTCACAGATGCGCAGCTGCAGGCGAAGACGTGGCATGAGCTCGATGTGGGATCGACGAAGCCGGCAAAGAGAAGTAGACACACAGCAGCCTACGATCCGCAGGGCAAGGCCATGGTGATCTTTGGGGGTCCGGCTCTCGGTGTGCCTCCGCGACCTCCTTCGCTCCTGGCCTTCCTTTCTCCTTCAGCTCGCAGCCCAGGTTTCGACAATGGCGGCCCGGGCCCCGGGCCTCGACTGCTGGAAGTCTGCCTTCTTTGCTGCCTTCTCGCCGGTTGCTGTTGGGCGTCCTGGTCTCCGGACCCGTGCACGGACCAAGACCATTTCGATGACACGTGGGCCTTCGACCTGGCGGTCAGGGCCCCGGCCAGTCTTGGTCTTGCGCCTCCGAGCCCGGAGTCCCAGAGAGCCACGCAGAAGCCAGGGAGAGCCCAAGCAGGTCGAGTGAGTGGGTCTGAATGCAAAGCACAGGTTAGATGTGCCTTGTGAGCTTTGTTTCACGGCCGATAAGAGCGTCTGATGTCAGCAGGCAGCAGGACGAAGGCTCTGATGTCAGGCGCATCGTAGAGTTGTAGAGCGAAGAGACACGGTGCAGCCTGCACCGAAGCAGCGACTCTTTCCTGCAGATGCTGAACCATTTTGGCCAGACATGCCGAATATCGGCATTGCAGCAGCAGGAGATATGGTCCATTTCAAGCTGGAGAGCCCGCCGTCCCACCGTATTTCACCATTCGGCACGGCCAGTATGAGACTACGCGATGCTAAGGCCCTCGCAGACTGGGCTGAGCAAGCATGTGCAGTCATTGTGTAATGCATCGTTGATGCGCGCGGCAGGCCATTTCAGGTACACTGTGCAGGAATTCAACAGGGGTTGGGCCCTGCGGCACAGTGGCTGCGTGCTGTCGGTGTTGTGATTGACGAGCAGGACGGATAACCCAATTGTTTCTTAGATTTCGGAAAGGGGGCTATTAGAACCCCGAAGTTGAATACCTTAAAGCATCTCTGACACTGGCAGTCCCAAAATCTGCTGAGCCGGTGACCGACTGTTGAGGTTGCCCTTAAGCACTGGATCTGCTGCTCGGGGTGAAGTCTGAAAAACCTGCTATTTTGAGATTCGCGAAGCTCTTGTACCCGTACACCCCAAACTCCAAACCCGAATCACAAAACCACAAACTTCAACCCGATACTCTTTTTTCGCCCTGCATTCGTCTGGCTGAGAAGTTTCGCACCTGGCTTCGCCTCCTCACCGCTGAGTGCAATGCATATCCGCGAATGGAGTACGGGTCAAGTATTTTGGGAGCAAGACAGCAGGCACGTCATGGGAGAAACACACAAGCTGACTGTCAGGTGGTTGCGTCTCAAACCTCACTGCCCCTCCCGCAATCACTGACTCTCAAACCCTAAACCCTCGACCCTGATCCCTGCACTCACTAGGTTTTATTAGGTCTCTTATGCTTAAGGTTTCGGCCCCCACCTAATATTTAAGAAAGTACCGAAATCTATAGTTTGTATTTAGGAGGGGGGGGGTGGCTCCGTTTAATATAGGGGGAAGGGATTATTGGGGCCCACAGCCCTCCCTGCAAGTGAGAGCATGGTCGTTGCTGTTTCTGCGCTTCGAAACTCGTTAGTTTGAGTTCCCAAGCTGCAGCCTGGCTTGATTTTTGCAGCATTGGTTGATTTCGCACACTTGCATCTCATAACTCATAACCATAGCCACGAAGCACCCTCTTTGAGAAAGAACATCGGGGTTGATTCAGCTTGTCTTACGACTGGCTCCGCCTGAGCGTTTTGGTGCAGAGAATTCGAAGTCTATGGGGTGTTTGCATGTCTGGCCGGCATGAAGGTGGAGCAGGAGCGTGTGGCAAAAGTAGACTCGGTCTCGTCTGGCGTGAAAACGTCACAAGCCTCGACCTCCGAGTTTTGGCAGGACCAAGCTGGGAGGAGCACCATGCGCAGCTTGATGCCCTGATCGCGCAGTTGCACGCATGGCCCTCATTTGTTGTCGTGTTCTTGATTGGTGCATTCTTCGAACTTGGAGGCCAAAGCATGGGTAGTAGCAGGAGGGCAAGCCAAGGCCCCATCCACAAACACAGCTTTGAGTTGCTGTTCTGTGGAGTCGCAGGATCAACCCACATCAGGGAGACCTTCCAAAGGCCGTGATAGCTGTTTGCAGGGGATGCATGCCAAGACTGCCGAAGGAAGCATGATAGTCCTCAGCCATATTGGCCCAGAGTTGTCGCCAACCTTGTAAGCATTTGAATGACAGAGATGACCTCGGATTTTTCAGCTGCCCTCAACGGTGCCATTGAGCGCCTTGACACACTCCAGGTCAAGGGGCGGTATTTCACCCAACGGGTCTTGCAGGACGACTTCGAAGTGAGCGGGGACATTTTGGGAACAGGGTGTAGTGGTGCTGTCCTAGCGGCCAAAAGTCGCCACAGACCCGGACGCTTCGCGGTGAAGGCCTATGATCTGCAGTACCTCGATCCGGGTCAGAAAGAACGCTTGGCGGGAGAAGTAGCAGTGTTTCTCAGTTTGGATCACCCGCACATCGCTCGTCTTTTCTCCGTTTATGAGACCAAAGACCAACTCAGCCTTATCATGGAACGCATGGACGGTGGCGAGCTCTTTGAACGTGTTTGCCAGACCGATCGCTTTAGTGAGAATGATGCTGCACAAGCCACTTGGCACATGCTTCAGTCGGTCAGCTACATTCACAGTCGAGGGGTGGTTCATCGCGATCTTAAGCTCGAGAACTTCCTCTACGACGCCCCGGGAAGCGATTTCCTAAAGCTCATCGACTTTGGCTTCAGCAAGTTCTTCCCCAATGATCAGAAGATGAGAGAAGCCATGGGAACACTGGCCTACGTTGCTCCAGAAGTATTGCGACACCGCTATGCTCGTGGGAGTTGTGATATGTGGAGTCTCGGCGTAATCGTCTTCATTTTGCTAAGTGGGGAGATGCCGTTCCATGGCCGCACAGATGCTGAGACCGCACGCAAGATCAAGGCCGGCAAGTACAAACTGCACTGGAGCAGGTGGTATAACATTTCCAAGCGAGCGAAAGACTTTCTTGAAAAGCTGCTGGTCGTATGTCCCAAGAAGAGGATGGACGCTGTGGCAGCCCTGCAACACCCATGGATTACATCCTTGGCGATGGCTCCAGCCGTTCCGGAGAGCGTGGTGACGTGCTTCTTGAACTTCGCACATGCTACCAAGTTTCAGAGGTCCCTTGTTTTGAACTAAGTGTTACTCGCCGAAAATACGTGTAGATCATGCCTCGGGTTCGACCCAGAAGTTCAAGCGCTCATGACAGATTACTCTCATGGTGGACGAATGTGACTGCACACAGTATACATCCCTTGCACGAAGCCGTTGAGACCTGCATTTTAGGGCTGCCAGCAATCAGAGATGTCCTTCAGAAATCTCAGCCTGACTGCAGGGCCTGTTTGCAAGCAATGGCTTGGAGCCTGACGCTGGAGGAGAGTCAGGGAAGTGAAGCTCGCTGTTCCTAAAGCAGGTTCCTGCAGCTTTCTTCAATCATCCATAACCGCTGGAGGAGCGACGCAAGCTGCGTGGGGATTTCATCCACCTGAGCCGCCAAGGAGTCATCAAGCAGCAGCATCTTCGAGTGTCAGGGCTTGAATGGGCAGTTCCGATTCCCTGACTCACGTTCTATGCCCCCGGATAAACGACCCTCCCCCAGCTCAGGGTTGTTCATGACCATCGAAGCACCAAGGAGTTTTTGTCAACGCAGATGCAAGAAGATTCGGAGAAGCTCCGGGAAGCTTTGCGGGCCCTCGACATTCTGCAAAACCAGACTGGTGATGACATCAGCTACAGTAGCTTCCTGGCTGCCATGATTGCGTGCACGAAGCTGGAGGAGACTTCGCACGCAGCCAAGTCGGCATTCCGTCGTTTCGATCACACTGACAGTGGGTATCTAAGCCCGTCAAAGCTGCGTGAAGTCGCTCAGCTGGTTTGGAAGCCGCTGTTTTTACACAAGGCACAGCAGCTTGGAAGAAGTCATTCTAAACTCCCTTGCGAGGTGCTCGGGGAGGATTTCGATGTGGAGGTGATATTCAAGGAGGTGGACCGCGACCAGGATGGCAAGATCAACATTGACGAGTTCTTAGCTCACCTGAATGATGTCCAAAGTGCCGCTGTTGAGCGATCCTTAAGTTCTTTAAGTGATGGCCATGCGCTGTGTGCGTGCAAATCGCAAAAGTCGAAGCCACACAGATTTTCGAGGACTGTCAAAGCTTGGTTCGGAGCGCTTTGCGGGGCATAAGTAAAGAGGCCGTCTCGCAAGGCTGAAGCATGAATGTGTGAATGTACAGAGCCCAGCACGGCCAAGATCCCGTTTGTCGAGGATCTTGTACAGATTGGTCAGTGAAAGAGGCTGTGCCCAGGACTTGTGGCTCTTTTGGACGTCATACTTTGTCTTCCTTCCATCCTTGATCATCCTTGCAAAAAGACACATGTGGGCTGAAATGTAAAGCTGCTGGGACATCCCGGGAGAACGGCTTGAGATCCTGCTGGTCAGGCTTGGCCGCGGAGGCAAGCAAGCAACGGATGAATGATTGCGAGTGCGCAAGATCCCATCTGAAGTCAGAACAGGAAGCCTTGGATGTCTGCAATCGTGACGAAGGTGCACCATGTCTGTGCGCTCGAGAAGCATGCCTTTTTCGAGAACTATTGGTTTGTTCTGCATGGAATCGTGCGGGGCTGTGCTGCGCAGGTGTGACTGGATCATTTTCGTGTCTAGTCTTCCTGGCTAGTTATTGCATCCACGCATCGGGTGACATTGCGGAAGGGGAATCCGCGTGTCGTGTAGTGCAACTTGTTGCACG